AAACTGTTCTTCCATATTAAAAGAGGGAAATTTTGCTATGTATCTGAAGTTGGAGTGTCTTGATACAGATGTTTTCAGATGTTTAAGTCTTTTTTAAAAAAATTCTTCTTTTTATACCCCATTTGTGCAATACAAAATATCTTCTGTATTTGGGATATCATTTGTTCATTAGCACTTTGTCCTTTCATGCAAGTATCTTCCCCGAGAGAACAGGAGACAGCTTCTCCCTGGTGTCTGGTCACCATTTATTATCCAAGGAATCTGAGACTAAAGCTGGAGAACAGCTCATGGGCCATGACCTAGAGACAGTTCAATTCAGTAGTTAGGGGAATTTCATGTGAAATCTAAGTTCTGTAGATAATTTCTTGACATGAAATAAAATATCCTTTTTTCTTCAGATCCCTTCAGAACAGCTTCCTATATCTGCATCAACCCACTTGCCTTCCTTACAAAATGTAAATGCTAATTTCCTTCCCTCTCCTGCTTCTCAACAATGAAACAACATTACATATAAAATAAGCTTACTGTGCAATGAAATTGGAATCCATTTCCAAGTGCGTTGTATAAATCTCAAAACTAAACCTCTCTTAAATCTCTCCAGGATTGAAACTGAGATCAAGCCACAAAATAACTATACTGCTAATTTAAAATCTATGTTTTGTATTTCATTTATCTTACATGTAAGTCTCATTTCCAACAGTGGCACAGACAGCATGAACTGGTTGACCCATCAGATAGATACTCAGAAGAGAAGCTTTTACCCCTCTCACAGAGCAAGAGCAATTTCAGCCCTGAAGGGAACGGTGTGGTAGCACTTCCCGTGCCCTCCCGTGGTGCCTCTGTGCCTGCATCTGCCTGCCCAGCCCATCTGCAGGGGAAACTCCTCAGTGGAAGGGCCTGAAGTTTGTGTGCCTCTGCCTTCCACCTGTGAGTCTCCCTGCAAATTCTTCCTCTCATCAAACTGTCTTTTTTCCTGGATTGCCTTAGCTCTACCCAGCCATACTTTAAGACAGCTACAAAGGCAAGGGCTAAAAAATCTGAGCCTTGGGTGACCCACTCTGGCCATCTGTCTTCCTCATTTATTTTTTGAAAGTCTGTGATGTACCAATAGTATGAGAAAAGGGCTGGGTTTCTAAACACCTGCCAAATGCAAGTCCTGCACTTTTAACTGCCAGCACTGCATTTAAAACATACTACACTAAGCTGTGAACAAATAGATTTGTTTAACAAACAAGTTCAACACAGGGATAAATCTGTCAGCCATAAATCATCTGCAATCTCCCTCTAATGAGAACATGAGGCTTTAAGACTATGCAGGATAACTTTCTGCTCAGATGGTGCACTAATGAGCAGCAATTTTTGCTCTCACAGAAAAGAATCCCTATGAGGATGAAAAATGTGTGTGCATGAGAGCTAACACACAGAGGTGTTGAAGGTCACCATCTCCAGAAAATTTCCATTTTATTTCTCCCATTTATTTTTCTTCTGAAAGTGATTTTCTATGCTTCTATTTAATTTATGACTGGTTTGACTAGATCAAGTTGAAAAAGCTTCTATTAATGCCTGAGATGGAAGGATTTCTTTTCAGAGGAAAAAAATAGAAGCAATTTTTTTTTGTGAAGGAGTATAAGCACACTGAATTGTGAGTGTCCTCCTCTGCCTGGGCTCAATTCCCTGGATCACATGATCATTGCATTCACTACCACCATGATGAGATCTATGAAGGGAAGGTGTTAATATTCTTTACCTCCATGGCCTCCTACATCTGATGCTTCTTTGGCAGCATCCCCTTTCATGCCTAAGTTAGGACTGACCACCACCTGCTAACACATTTTTAAATGCCATCAAAACAATGCTAGAGGTGTTAAGAGTTGCCTGCTGCATCACCAATCTCCATTCTAAAGCTTCTCTTTCACCTCCTCCTGGCTGCTTGCTGTTTTTTTACAGAATATCCTGCATCTGTGATTTGCAAATGATCCGTCATTTTTCCCAGGAACGGGGGAATTTGTGATTTTTTTCAGCCAGGAGATCCATCTCAGTGCTTGTCCAAATTTGACAGTTCTCCATATGAGTTTGAAGCAGTATATCTTGTTTGTTCAGCATCCCTTTGAAGTGATGTTCATTTCTCCAATTCTCTGAATTGGAGATGGTAACTGCATCAACTCGTTGTGATTTACACTGGAAGAGTAAAGCCCTTATTTATACTTCAGATCTGTGTCCAATATATGAAGATTCATAGTAAACAAAGCTCCTCCTGTAGTCAAGCAAGTTTAGGCTTCCTCACCCAGCAGCTCATACAGTAGCCCTGGTTCAGCTTCAAACATAAGCACTGCTGACAATTTTAACTTCTTACTTTCTTTCCACTTCTCTCCTGAGTTTCCCAGGTTAGCTTGTTCTCACTTTATTGACTGCCACAGAGAAGCTAAGTGTTTCAGAAAGCAAGATTTCTAGCTTTTGAATTATTTGGTTATTCTTTCACAATTATTTAAATGCAAGTTATCAATATCATTATAATACCCTCATAAACCCTAAGATGGCATGTTACTTTACAGATACCAGCCATGAAAATACTGCAATAATGAGTAACAGAGCAGGTTTTCATTACACTTTTCTTGATATTCCTTGCCATTACATTCTGCAATCAGTTAAATTTAGTGTAGGGAGGATGTGTGTTTAAATATACCCTGATGAACATGTCTTCCGGGACTTAAATAGTAGTGTAATCTTCCCTATTTGCTCTAGCAGATATTTTTAGTGCTGCTGCTCACTAGTTTTTAACCTAACTTCAGAACAGACTCTTCAGATAGCATTCCTTTTCAGTATTTTTGTTGCCAACTTTTCAGTTTCTATGGCATAGTTAGCAAGTGTTTGCTTAAAATGAGCCAAAAAAACTTATTGAATATTATGTAGAGAAAAGCACAAAATCATGAAAAGCACCACATGCTTGGATAGTTGAGGACATACATATCTGCAATGTTTGTTCTCTTGCCCCATGGTGAACAGCTACTCTTCTCTAGATTATTAAAACTGCTATTTTTAGGCCTTTAATTAAGAGTCTAGTTTAAAACAGGGCATGCCAATTCTATTATGGATATTTTCTCAAACACAGTACAAACACAAGCAACAAATAGCACAAAAATTAAGAAACAAAGCCCCAGACATTAAATTCCTGATGTTTTTGGTACCACCTGACCTGATCAAACCTCTGGCACAGGAGTCTTTAGCTAGCTCACTAGTGAAAATATAGATGTAGCTACACAGGTGTTAAAGCAGAAGGAAGCTGAATTGAAATAAAAATTAAAACACACAGGGACTAAAGGAAAGAGCACAAATATCTACCCTGTGTCTAGGTGGCAGTCAAGGTTGATAGAGGTTTGACTGAATCTGAAAAGCAGGCAGACAGACAGCAGTTAGAAGCAGACATGTTTGACAATTAATAGTGACTTGGTCACCTAACACTCGTTAAATAGGATAACCAGATGGTCTAGGAGGGCTTTCTGTGTATATGAAGGCACCAGCAGAGATACATTACAAGTAATTAGCAAGCTAAACTCACCCATTTAATCTAATATTAATGAAATCATAATCATTGGCTCAAGCTTTATATGTGGTTTTATTCCAAAACAAAACAGAGCTGAAAGGACTTGTTATACCAATGCAGCCCACTAGAGGTCAAGTTACAACCAGAAGTTTAAAATATATTTAGTAATAACGGGCAAATTTAGGCCACCATCCTCATGTACTACTAGATTCATTCAGGGTGCCACATGTATCTAAAATCCTTCAGAAAAAACTCTGGCATACAGAGATACAAAGCAGATGAAATAATTGTTCCTATAATCCATTATATAATTGTTCCCATAATCCATTAATTAGATGGATTGGATAATTGGACTGGAGAAATTTTCTTTATTAAAATATCATGGCATGAAGACTCTAAGTTCTGTTTTAGACCAGGTAGAATGTTTAAAACCAGTGATAATGGTGAACTAAACTAAAACCAAAACCTCAAGACTTGATATGTCTGATACAAGAGAAGAACTTTAATCCCTCTGTGTAAAAGACACTAGCATCACACATCTGATCATACAGAAGGGCTGCATCAGAATCTTATAAAACAAAGCATACATAAATACATATAAATACAAACATAGAAAAATTGAACATCTCCATGCCTAATCAGAAATCCTGCAATAGCACATTGTGAAGGCAGAAGGAATGCCTTAGATTTGAGTGGTTTCTAAGCATTTGATATCTTAGAGTGTATGATGTCCAGATACAAATCAAAGATATCTTATGAACACCCATCCTCTGTGCAGTAGGAGGCTCGTCTAATAGAGCTGTCAGCTTTGTAAAGCTTCAATATAAATTTAGCTATTTCCCATGTTATTCTTCCCACCTGGACCAACAGAAATGTTTGCAATTACAGCGTGTAACCTAAAGCATCTATCCAGAAAAATTCCACTTAAAATTTTACAGGAGATGGCAGCAGCTAAGACAATGTCCCCAGACCAGGGTAAGAAGAGATGAGCAGTGAAAGCCTGTGCTTGCTCACCTATTTCTGTGAGGAATCATACTAAACAAACAAACAAAAAAACCTAAGAAAAATCTCCCAAAACCAGAAGAACAAAGCATTAAAGGTCAGCTTTTGCCTTCCAATTCTGTACAGGAAGGAGACTGTTAGTGACTAAGCTGCATCATATCAGAGGTACCCTCTGAATGGTTCAAATTGAGCTGGAAGTTGTGTTGTATTTTCTGAACACCCATGAAGGGGTACAGAACTAGTGCCAGCCTAAAGATCACAGTATATAACCCACAGCCACTGCACTAAACTGCTTTCATCTACTCTTTCTGCTTCACTGGCTCCAGATGCTTAACTCAACTTCCACTGTAACAAAGGTGGCATAAGGCAACTACACAAAGAACACAGTTCTGTTTGGGTTACGTACTAAAAGAATCAGTGCTCCCCAAAGACTCTGAGTTGTTTTACTACATCTCACCTCCTCAACCATATGCTTGACTTTCTTCTGCTGGCAGTGGACCATGTCATCCAGATGCTTGATCCGCTCTCTCAAGCTGGCTGCTACCTCCTCCAAGTGCTGTGACCTGGCAAAACAGGCAAAGACCAAGCCTGTAAGTGGGGAGCTATGCAGTATAAGCAGAACAAGAACAACCCCCACAATCCACCATAAATCAGGACAGGCAAGTAAAATTGCACTGACAGATGTCAAATTGTCCAAAGTAAATTTTAATGTGATCTTAGTCCAAGTGGCAGCCTCCACCCAAGTTATCTCACCTTTGTCTTGCATACTGGCGTGGTTACTCAGAGCCTGAAGTGCTGACAATTAAACAATGTGACAAAACGTATCTCAAGATGTGTTTTCCTTTAGTGAAAGGCTTTTAGACACTAGATCTTTAGCTTCAGAGAGACACATTTAGCCTGACTTAACGCTACCTGCAAATATTTTGAAAATGTATGCTAAACAAAAGCCAGGAAGCAGGTCTGCTTTCAAAGCTGTCTTACTGCAGGGGAGCCTTGAGTCAAGAATTTGGCAGAGCTGCCAACAGCAGCAGAATGCTAACTGGAATAGTATTAACTCCTCAGCAGTCAGCAGGAATGCTATGAATGGTTTACATTTGTGCATACAACTCTTCAGATAGATTCTGCATTTCTTCAAATCTGTTTAATACAGAAAGTGAACTCCAGCAGAACTCCTGCCTCAAGTTGTTTTGGCAGCTTGTCAGAAAAGTAGCTGTAGAATATGCAAGGAAACTGGTGTGAAGCTTTTCCGTAAGGTTTTGTCTCTTTGGCCATGGGAGTCTCCATTTTTATCTGAATGTCCAATTCTTAAAATTTGTCAAAGAAAGCAATTTCTTGCTTAGAAAATAAACTGCCGTACTCCTAGGTTCAGGACTGGACAGAATTTGAGAATGGGAGGAGGGGAATCAAAAACAAAAAGGCTTTTTTCATCTTGGTCTGTGCACAGCAGAAAAAAAACTGTTAAAGCTGCAAATAGAAAAATCACTCTAAGACAAAGCAGCAGATGGCAAACTGTAAGACGTGATTCCAGTGAATGACTGAATTGTATGCTGTTTCCCCCCAAAAGAGTCTCTATTAACAGTGAAGTACTCTGCAGAAATGTAACTGCAGCACTTTGACAAGGACTCAAAAAATTCAAAGCATTGCTGCGGGTTTTTCAGTTGTGTGTATTAACATCTCATAAAACTTTAATTTATATTTTAATTGCAATTGTAGCACATATTTTGTATCTCATTGGAAGATTCAGGATCTGAAGCATTGATAGCAATGAAGAAATGGAACAGACATCCTTCCTAAGGTGAAGCTTGAGTGTCTGATAAGGTACAGACGGGTAAAGACAACTTAAGAATAAACCAGCATCATCTGAACACAGATTCATCGCTTGCGTGGCATAGATTGCAACTGTGAGCTCGCTTGCATTGCACAAATTCCTGCCTGAACACTGCCTTTACCCTTTTACTGCAGCATAACTTTTCACACTGGAAAGGATTCACTGAAGCAAGAAGTGTCTGTGTTATTCAGAGGTAAAGGAAAACAGCAATTATCTTTCATCTCCATATTCTATGTTGTATGCGAGCGACATCTGTTCCCTTGAAGTTATTATTTTAACAGGCTGCTGTGAAAAGCCATTCTTGCTCTGAAACCAGAGAAGCTGGTCACAGATCAATACAAGGCACTGAGAAGCTCTCAGCAGGGACCTCCTTTCATGTTTATGCTTCCCAAAGAACAGCAGGAAGCCCAAAACCTTAAAACTTAATATCTGGGCCATAAGTAGTAATCAAGTACTGTTATTCAGTCTCTGGTTATAATTCATCTTTACCCACTGAAGCAGTGTCATATACTTTGAGTTTAGCTAGCGAAAGTGTTCATAGTCACGATCATACTCTTCTGAATTTGGGAATGCAGGTTTAAGAAAAATGTAAGCCACAGATATGTCACAGCTTGTTCCACCTACAACGGACTCCACACATTTGCAAACAACTTTTCAGAAAAGATGCATGAAGGTGGTCATTCTTGCAAAAAATAATTGTCTTAATATTTTACATATCAATAAACCTACATTCAAATGGACAATCCCTACCAGACTGCAGTTTTAAAGTTAGAAAAGGCAAAATTCAGATGTCTACAAAACAAAGAAACCTCTCAAGTTTCCTAGCAATAGCAGAAGTTCCACAGGCAAGTCATATCTCACCTTTCACTGTCAGAGTTGTTTTCAGATTTTGCTCCAGATATTTGTAGTTCATTTAATTCAAGTTGTTTTTGCAGCTGGTGACGTTCCTAAACAAGAAAAGTTATCCTTCAGTTCTCCATGTATCAAAATGTGAAGGCTTCACAAAGCAAATTTCATTGCAATTCAAAACATCATTTGTGAAATTAAAATAGAAACTGATTAAACAAAATTCATGCATTTCCTATAGCCAAGAAGGACAGAATACATAATAATAAAATCTATTTCCCAGCTATGCATGGAAACAAGTTCAGTTTTCAATTTCCTATATGAAGATGTACGGCTGTACTTGAAACTGGATTTTTTTTCAATAAAAAGATGAGTCATCAAAATCTTTAACTACATAAAGTCAAACTGTCCACATTATCACTCCAAAAAGAACTCCCAAATCCAAGGCTTACATAAAAGGTACTGCTGCATTTTCTTCCCCCAGAGTATTCCTGTTTATTTTTAAGTGCCCACCAGCACAGTGCTTGTGAAGATCTGTGAGGATTTAGGGTCTGAGTCAAACAAGTTAACTGAGAAGTGTCAGTGTGTTATCCACCTTGATGGGAATTTAAGAGGCATTCAGTCTCACTGGGTGAGTATGAGCCAGATAAGAGCAGATTAAAGAACTAATGTGAACTATACTGCAATCCTACATTCACTGCATAATACTTAAAAGTTGTAGGCTGAAGCCCAGATTAAGTTAATGGAGCCACTAGAGGGGCATATTATTAGGTTGAGTAATTTCTCAGCATAATCATTAATTCCACTAATGGATTTGCAAGCATTAGACAAAAGGCACTCAATGTACATTAGACTAACGAGTCAAGCCAACAAGACTGGCTTGTAAAAACGTGTTTCTCAGTAGATATGATATTAAATATGTACTACAATAAAGTGAAATTGGTGAAAAAAACCACTTCATTTGAAAGAGCAGAAGATTGTACTCCCTCCACTGACTAAAACACTGTCTGCTCCTGTATTTGAGACAGTGAGGCACAAATCTTTAAAGATGAGATGCCTGCTATTGAATGAAATGAGAAATGCCAATGTACATCCAAAACCATTTCGTAGTCACTGCAGCCAAGGCTGCCCTTGAGCTTCACATTCCCCAGCAGCTCCTCCTTGTTGGTGAGAACAAGGTCCAGAACAGCACCTCTCCTCACTGGCTCCTCTATCAAATGCAGACTAAAGTTATCATCAACACATTCCAGAAACATGGATTGCTTATGCTCTGATCTGTTGTCCCTCCAAATGATGTCAGGGTGATTGAAAATCCCCATGAGGACCAGGGTTTGTGAACAAGAGGCTGCTCTCATTGCCTGTAAAGGGCCTCATCCTTTCAGTCTTCCCGGCTGGGCAGCCCCCAGTCTGATGTCACCTGTCCCTGCCCTCTCTTTAATCCTGACGCTGTAGGGTCTCCATCAGCTTCTTATCCATCCCCAGACAAAGCTCTGTGCTTTATGGACCTACCATAGCAACATTTAGAAGAGACTCTGGGTCATTTATAATTGTTACTTGATTAGGCTTAAAACACCTTGCACACTGAAGAGACACTGAATAGTTTTTAAATTCCCTCTTTAAAATAATGTTTCATTTCCTAAATAAAAGCTGCCCTGTAAGGACCATCAGGAAGAGAGAACAACCACCTCATGACAGGGTCTCTCTGGCAGTCCAGGTGCATTTACTGATATAAATACAGTAACTAAGATGCAAACAGCAATGGTATGTCACTGAGCAGGGAGCTGAGCAGCAGAACAACAACTGAAACTTCCTCCATGCACCTGGTGCATTTCCTGTCAAGGCAGCAGTCAGCTCTCCTACCTCTTCCATGCGTTCAATCAGCCGGTCCAGCTCACCAATTCTCTGGTCTTTCTCCTGTATGCTTGTTTCTGTAACCTGCATCTTCTTATTTGCCTCCTCAATAGCCTTCAGAAGCCGATTTGTTTCCTCCTGCAAACAAGAATTTTTACAGTCACATTAGCACCTAACGCATTAATGAGGAATATTTCTTCTTCTTTTTGGCTCTAGGGCCAGGCTAATAGCTCTAAAGAGCTCAAAGCTTTTCACTACACCTGCTCAGAAATCTGGAAGAGTTATGACCCTGAGAGTGAATTATATACAGCAAAGACTGCGGGTACTTTGAGATACACAAGTATTAGTAAAGCATCATTATGACAATCCAAAAGAAATTTTTATCCATTTCTTAGATAGCTGATTTCCCTTCCCTTTCCCCAAGGATGCTGTTAAATAACAGCATGAGAAAAATATGCTGCTGCAAAAGAAAGCTTTCTAAACACCATAGTTGGCCATGTTCAGCTTTGTACTTTTCTTATATGTAAAGCAATATGAATAAAAAGGAGCATCTATCTTCAATCTCCATCATTATCTGATTCTATAATTTCAAAAAATGCAACAACATACCGCTCATAGAAAGGTTTAACTTGGGGGTGGAGGGAAATTGGGGGACAGGAGAGTTCTTGCTCCAGTAGCATCCAGTGAAGTTCTCCTTTCTCCTTCTTAAACTGTCACTTCTTAAATTTGGACATTATGTTTTCCTTTTTTAGAGAATCAGAAGTTAAAAAAGCCTACTTACCCTATTTCAGGTTTTGAGATCTAGATTATCATTGATATTAGTATGTTTGAACACTTATTTTTCTTAGTTCTACAACCCCAAATGTTTGGGAAGCTTAGTAACTATGGCACAACTAATCACAGAGACAGGAGTGAAGGAACTTGCATCAGCTCCAGAGTATGAAGCAACTGAGAAATGGCATCCAAGCTAAGCACTGCTCTTACAGACTGGCTGTACATACCAGGAGCATTTCTTTCTCAGCCTTGTGTTTCTGTTCCTCTTCTCGCATTTTTTCCTCATACTGACTATACAGCTTTCTGGTCATCTCTCTCATGACTTCAGCATTGGCTTCCTGTGATGACTCCACCTGTGAGAGAGGAGGGTTGCCCCATCAGTAAGTACAGTACTGCTGGCAGCAGGAGAAAGAGAGTTCACATGATGAGAAAACAAGAGTTTGAAGTTAAGCTCCCCCTTGTTATAAATCTGGCATTGCAAAAGTAGATTTCCATTTCCATCAAGACCATTTACAGCATTCTGCCAGTATTCACATAATTTGAATCTGCAGAAGTTACTGTTCCATCAAGTTCCATGTTGTCTGAAATTAGCTCATTTAGTCATTTCTGATCCAAGACCAGGCCATGCCTCTTTGCTGAACCATTCCACAACAGCCTCCAAGTCACTTGGCTTGTTTCCCCATTGAAGTGATATTGTCTCCCCCTGCTCTACTGAAGCATGGACTAGAGGTGGACTAGACTCAACTCCTCTTTCTGAATTACCATGAACACTCAAAGCAATACTTTACTGCAGTACCCTCCCTGCAATCAAACCCAAAATTAGAATTCTCAGGTGTGTGGAAGGGTTAATTTTTAACAACAGAACCAGAAACTTTACTAGAGCTATGGGGAAGAAGGCAGAATGGTAATTCAGAGACAGGATTTCCTGCTGTTGGCTGAAAACACTGACTGAAACACACCCTCAGTAATTAAACACCAGATAGGTTATTCACATAGGTTAGGTAGATGGTTAGGTCCATCTACTATGTAAACCACAATAAAAGTGAAGTAAAACAGTTAGTACAGAACTTAGTTCTCTTCCTAGAGATGCTGTGAATCAGCCAATGTTATAGTGAAATGCTGTGGGTGCTACAAAAGTGACAGGAAGAGGAGGAATAAAGTGCTCCCTGCTGATCACCACACTTAACACAGCTACAAAACACAGAGTTCTGATGATTAAGGTTTTAGGTTGGATTTTTTTTCTATTTCATGGACCAAAAGGTTTAATAAACCCTTGGTTTCATCTTGCATGGCAGAAACAAGCTTGTTTAGTACCCTGTAGAAAAACAACAGTGTGTTTAATTCTTTAAAAAGGGATGAGCCCAGGAGGACTCCACTTGTACTCCACTGTCCCCTCTGTCATGTTGCCTAGGACAACCCTGGGGCACAGGTAGTCACCTGCACTTTATGAGAGGGCGTGGAGTTAAATGAACCTTCCACATTTCAGGAAGCCTGAAAGAATTGTATCATTTAGAGAAAGCCAATCATTAAACCCCAGATTCCTTAAGATACACTGCATTGGAACAGGATCTCTGCCTTTTATCTCCATCACTCCTTCCCTTACACCTTGTGCAATGAGGACAATGAGTGAAAACAAGCATAAAAAAAGTGGATGTATCAGGGCATCTGTAATAATACACTTAAGCAACATCTCCACTCTACGTTATTACAGATTTATGAATAAACCAAACCTTAATAAGCCTCACAGGTGTGTTCTCCACCCAGAATGTAATCATGTACACAGTTGTTACTGCTTTTCAACACCAACCTCCCAGATCCCACACCATCCCCTTACATTCACTGCTAGAATGAATTTCAGAAACTCTTGGCACCTTTTGAGACATAATTTTATATTTGACTGTCAAAGACAGTAATGAGGTATATTTTTCACTAACTTGGTAGTAAAACTGAAAGTGTGATGGCAAAATTTACACTTTTGCTGTGTAAATGCTGCGCCTGTATTCTGCAGAGCTTGACATGCTTGAAGATAAATAAATCCTTATGCATTCATTTGAACTGAGACTTCAGCTGCAGTTCCTTGCTCTTAGAAGCAGACATACCTTTCCCTGACTTGCTTGGGCCTGTCCTTAATATTATAGTGAAGCCCAAATTTCTGTTTTAAAATCTTAATTGCATCATCTTTGCCTCTGTTACTTGGTTTTCCCCTCTTTTTATTTCCTGCTGACAACAACAGGTGTAAAATCCAGCTACTTTTATAGCCTGTAGAGCTTCACTGTGAGAGGAAAGCAGAACATGAAATACACTTATGTTTTCTTGTTTAACCATTCATCATTAAGCATGAGTGCTAGTCACTAGCAAAACAGCCAGAAAGAAACACCTTCTCTCACAGAGAAGAAACACCTTCTCTCACTTTCTCAAGATTAGACATGAATATAGCTGCAGTCACCTTAATTTCAGAAACTTTATCAAAAATAGAAACTAATTTTTCAAAATTTGATTAATTCTGATGTAGTACCATATCCCAATTGGTCTACTTTGAGCAATTTTAACAGAGACAAAGGCTTTCGGGGAGGAGAGGGTATTGTTTGTCTTATTTGGGTTTTTTTGTAAGCTTGGGGTTTTTTTGAGATTAAAGGAATATATTTGGGTGATGAGGGGAGAACACGGTCAAGCTTTCTGTCATATTAAACCATGCAGTTTGTGTTTTATTGCCTTGCATTTCTCTGAAAGAAATAGCTTAATTCTCTTTTGAAGATGCTTGCTGTTACCTGTTGACCACATGCTCATAAGACTTAACAGACTACCTATTAAAAATGGTGCAATACCAAAGAAACTCAACACCAAGAAATTCAGGTAGCAATGTGCAGAGTTGTAACATTCCTTTACTTAATAGGAAAGGACACTAATAACCATTTAATGGTTTGAATTTTCACCTGCCAACATCTCTCACTCTTATGTTACATCCCATGTTATGGAAAGACTGCCTGTCGCCAGCTGAGATTCTTTGTTATTAAACCAGTATTGATTCACAGGAATAAGGGAGCTTGAGGGCATGGCAAGGGCATGAAGAATGAAGAACCCTTTGCAGGTAAGGCCAAGGAATTAATTTAACATCCACCTAATGCCCTTACTGTGCAGTATTTTTGGGGAGTTTGTACACCTCACCTTTAACTTCAGTAACTGATTTTCAATTTGTGCCGTTTCCAGTTGCTTTTGCTTCTCTCTCAGCTTTTCCATAGATTGCTCGTGTGTATGTTTTAAATTCCTTATTTGTTCCCTTATGTCTGTGTTCTCCAATGTAACATCCACTAGAGTTTTCTAGAAGAAAGAGGCAAAGCACATATTAAAAATCAGAAATAATTTGATGAATTAATATAGGCAAGATATTATGAAACAGACAGCACATTTAAAGAGCTTTCTGACATATTACTTCAGCGTGAAGAGTTTTGTAAGTTTTAACATTTAAAATTATGGCTTTTGTTGTTGCTAGAAGGTGTTTCTGTGAGAAGTATACTCAGTGAACTCGAGTCCTGGAACACTATTTAAAAAAAAAAAAAAAGGAACATGGATACATTTCAGCATGAATAATTTTCCCTTCTCTCTGAGGCCATGCCATGCATACAAAATGCAGTGGACTGAAAACATGAAAGTAATGTACAAGAACATAATATTCTTGTTAGATACAAGAAAGCAGAGACATTAAGTTGTTCAGCTCAGATACATGGGAATTTAGAAGTCTTTAAAAATTAAAATTCATTCCTACCTCCTCCCTCCCCCTGCATTTCACAGGTATGTAAAATCTCACAAGTGTCTGGCACCCAAACATGCCACTTCTTTTCTGTTACCAGCTGAAGGCAGAACTAAGTCAGGAGATGCACCATTCTGCACTATACAGACCAAATCCCATTTTCACCTTAGATCCTTCACAGAGACATGAATTGTGGTATTAGTCTGCTGCATATCAGTATCTCTTTATTGTACATTATTTGTAATTTTTTTAAACACAAGAACTTCTGGAACATTTTTGTTTCCTAAACTAGGTGCTTTAGATATCCAAGACAGTACTTTACGGTGTTGCTTAGTGTTAGAATCTGTATCTGTCATCCATGTTTTCTGCATGCTTTGAAATCCATGTTAGAAAAGGCAGCTGTGAGCTGGGAAGCAGCTATGAAGATGTACCTGCAAGTCTATTGATGCTGATGTCAAGGAGCTGTTCATTTCACTAAAGCTATCTAAGGCTGCAGCCTGCACTCGCACATGATTCTCTAAGGATTCCTGATGAGCATTTGTCACCTGAGCAGGGGAAAAAAAAAATAATTACATAGAATAATGACCAAGTTTACCTATTCTTGCCAAGAGAGCTACACAAGAAAAAGATGCCAAGGTCGTTTTCACTTTACTAGGATGCTTAAAATATACAGGCCTCAAAGTACAATCTTACAAACAAACAAACAAAACTTAAAATCCAAATAATCTAACAGAAATAAGGCATGAGTATCTAAGTTTATTGTTAGTCTGCAATCACTCTAGAAGCTGGTTTTTTTTTTTGAAAGGACAAGAGGACAATTGGCAGCTGTCTATTCAGACAGATTATATACACAAAGTGGGCAGATTGCAAAAATTCAGAGTGAAAAGCAGAAGAATGCAAGAAATAAGGAAATCAAGAACTGTGAATTGTAGAAAGGCCTTAATTAAGAAGGAACTGACTAATCAGGTATATAGAGAAGCAACATCAAGATGTAAGGAAGAAACAGTACAAAGCAGGAAGGGGAAGCCAGAGGGCTTTGTTGTGTAAAAATTAGTCATTTTCTGATATGTACACACACACATGCTTAAAAACTGAAGGGGGGGAGGGGAAAGACACAAAATGACATCATTCAAGAGGAGACCAAAACTCAAACAGTGTAAATAATTGTGAAGGATCCAGTAATAAAGAGGGAAAGAGTATTACTAATGAAAGCCAAACAGCTCACATTCTTAGAGGGACCAGATTTGCTTCTTGACAAAAAGAGAAGAACACCAGAGACTGATACAGGGGACAAGGGTGTAGTAACCAAGCCATACACAGATTAGGTCAGCATAGGGAGTAGAGGCCAAGTAGTCACTGTCAACCTTCCATAAATGTGTGCTCATGTAAAACAAACGACAGCAGAAATGCTTTGGATGGATTAAGAAAGTTACAAGGTAAGAACTTGTGAGAAGAAGCCCAGGGCAGAATACTGGAAGAGCAAATTTCAAACAAACTTTATGAACAAAAAGTTGTCCTGGAAATTGGAAAGATAAAAGCACAGTGATTGAAAGCTGAAGCAAAGAGTATAGAAAGGATTTTAAGCAGGATTTGGAAATAGCACAAAAGACAACAGTCATGTAAAACCAAAATCAGCTCTTAAATAACTAACCAAACAAAAAGCTCACATTATTAGGAAGAACAACACTTGTGCTTCCTTTCAGGCAGTCGAGAGTACTAAAATAAGGAAGGATGTCTCCTAATGTGCCATTTATGTCAGAAGGAAGCTTCATGAACTGCTAATTTGCCGGAGAACTAGATATTCTGTCAGAGCTGGTCAGAAACCCTTAATTAAAGAAGAATTTCTGACTCATGCAGGATTTCTACTGGTCTGACAGAAGTTCTGGAAGTGCAGGATATCATCACTGCTATTCAGTAAAGATCAGCAACAAAGACAACAAAGCTGCACCTGAATCAGCATTTAGCACATGCATACTGGGGGGAGAGTGAGTCTTGTTGGCTTTATGACTATTTAACACAGTTTGCAGAAATTGAGTTTTTTCTCTCTCTTCCTCTCAAGTCAGGGTGATTTGTTTTCTATTTTTTGAGACCAGTTGCACAGAATGTAAGTAACAGTTTACAGCAAGTTCTGATTTTTGTGTCTAATACAGCATGCAGGGAACTGACAGCCTCCAAATGAGGAAGGCAGAAGGGCACAAGTCAAGGTCCCAGTCCCTTGAAGTCAGAATACTTTTGATTGCCAAAGCTTCCTCTGAACAAGGGCTGTGAAAATCAATGCTGAACATAAATTCAAAGCAAGTTTTCAGGGGGATTTTTTAGATCAAACAACTCAGCAGTTTAATATGAAAGCTATTTACAGAGTGCAACAGCTTTTATTGCTAAAGCAGCATGTCAGAAGAAAGGTCATTGAATGACTGTTGAAATGTTCCATTAAAAACCAAAAGGTAAATAATTTTTAGCACTTTAATACTAATGAATATTGCTACTTCTTTTACTTAGTGTTTAAACAACAGAGTCAGTAAAACAGAGCAAAGTATTGAAACAACTCCAAGTTATCAGTTTCTCCTAATTATCAATGTTATTTATTTGATTCACCTGCAAGCTGTTACATCCATCTCCATTAATTACCAATACACACTAGCAATGGTATCAAAATCATTATTTCATTTCCAAGAATTTCCAGCCAGTTAGTAATTTCATATGCAAAAGCATCTCTGTCCTGCTGTACCTTCCTGGATGGAAAAATAAATAACAAAAGGAAACTACAGATTTCACATAAAACAGCAATTGGAGTGGTTTGGGAGATTAATTCTGTTCTGCTAAAGCAAAAGAGAAGTTTCTAGATAACACTGGGAGAGTTATTCCCATATGCTTTCCCTGCAAATGAATGGGTACTTACTTTCAGTTCATTTGTAAGCTGCTGTATTTTTCGTTTCATTTCATCATATTCACCATACATTTTCTTTCTTACTTTTTCCAGAGTTGCTCTCACCTGGTGTCAGAAAAATCAAATGCCTTTATCAAAATTTTGGATTATACTGTTCATATAGTAGGACATTGTTTTTTTCTCTATGTTCTTCATTGTTACTTTCTGTAATTTCCATTGTTAATCTATCACTGCACAACAGCAATTTATTCTCAAGGAAAAGACAAAATCTTAAGTCTCAAGACTTGTCTACATAGGGATGACAGAAATAACTGTCACTATGAGAAATTTCAAACCTCTGTGTACATGTCTAAACATTTATAAATTAATAATTTAGATAAATTAATGTCAATTAAATATATGTAATTAATTCTAACCTGATTACTAAATGAATTAAAATAATTTGATCATATATTGTTTTATTTCTGAAAAAAGGCGTGGACTTCGTGTACCTCTATACTTTTAAAAGTGATTGGTTTCCCCTGGGTATCCTTTGCAGATAAACACTTTTAATTTCAGTCTTTTAAACTTATATCTAACTAAACAACAAACTAGCTTACATTTACCAATGCAATTTCAAATCTGAAGAATGGAGAACTCAATTTGATTTCAAGAACTATGGATGCAAATTATTCTTTGCCTTTCTAGGAAAAAACACACTCAAAAACCCCCGAATTGGCTTCCAGTTTGGCTTTACATGCCACTGCAGTCATGTTTGCCCACAGCCTACATAATTCAACCTCTTTTTTTCCCTTCCTCACCTCTACCAAGCACAGGCTGATTGCAGATCATTGAGGTCAGTGAGTTTACTGTGTCTGCACAGTGGGGTGAGGGCAAAACTTCAGCAGGGGATGTTTTTAGCAGCTCTGCATGGAATCCCCTCACTCCCAGAAAGGGGGGCACTGGCCACCAGACCTGTGCAAGGAGTGCTCCCACCCGTGGCTCCCTTTGGGATGAGGAAGAGAGCAGGGAGCTGACTCCTGCCCGGCACCTCAGGAAAGCACCGCTCACCCTGTGCCTCCCCACGCACAGGCACAGGCACACACCCTCCTGCAAGATGGAATTTGACAGGCAGAGGAAGCTGTCAGCAGCTCTGACATGGCCCATCATTTTTGGTCTATTTGAGTCAGCACATACATGGCACAAGCTGAGGACTCTTGTTTAAGATTCTGCTTTTAAAGATGCCACTACTCTAGCAGAACAAAGATCACAAAGTAGCAGAGCTGAACACGGCTTCCAGAAGACCAAAAGCCAGCATGTCTCCTCCCCTGTCTTTCCCACTTTTTCCTGAAACCATCAGTACCCTGAATGCACAAGCAAGACATGCAGTTCACCTGGTGTGATGTGTCCCTCCATAAGGGACAGACACGGGCAGGGAGATGGTCCCAGCCCAAGCAATCCCAGGTACCACAGACAGTGCAGTTTGGGGAGCTGGCCCTGCTGTGTGTCAATTCACCTGCCCCTTGACACTGCCCCAGCAGGGCAGAGAAACTACCTAGGCAGGAGAACAGCAGCCAAGGCAGGCAGTGTGCCTCAGCAGCACCACAGCACTGCCAGCCCCTGCCAGTCCCTAACCTCAGCTGAGAGTGGGGAACACCTGGAGCCGGCAAACCGGGAGTACTGAGGGAGAGAAGCAAGTGCTGATAGCCACAGAGCAGGCAGGCAAGGAGCACACATGATTACATGATTACAGTGCTTTACACTGCTGCTTGACTCAGGGTTCCTCCCTTCTCTACCAACTCAGTTTGCACTTGAACCAGAGTAACACAATAAACGCTGACCAACAGCCTCCTGGGTGGTGAAGGTGGATGGAAAGAGGTCAGATTATTTGCCCTGACGTAATTAGGGTGTTACCGCCAGCCTGAGGGACAAAGACTGATGGGCAAAGAGATGCTGAGTTCCAAGAACAGAAAAAATTCAAGCAGGATCAAAAATGCATTTTGTGTTTTTCAGGCAATCTTCTGCCTGAAAATGATAAATGAGCAGGCACAGAGAAAGTAGTACAAAGACATCCTTATTAGGCTGACTATTTTAAGGCCGCCCCAAAATATACCCAAATGACTTTACTATGTCACCTAATTTAGAAGCCTTTTCAAAGCTAAGGATTTTGGGGTCGGGGGAAGCAGAGGAAGAGAGAGACTATCTTTTCAGGTGTCTCCTTACATAGCTTCTTCCATTAGCAAGCACAGGTATGGGGCATGATTTTTTCCCAACTCAAATACTACCAAGGCCAGCCTCTAGCTTCAGAGTAGGTTCCCAGTTCCAACTGAGATGTTGGGCTAGACATCAGTCATCCCATTATACTCTCACAGCTCTACGTATATGGAAACATATGGATATATGGAAAGGGTATTTAACAAATTTTGAGGTGAAAGTGTAACTCACTTCTTTAATGTAATTCATCTCCTCTTTCAGCTGATCAGCTGACCAGCCATAAACCACCATTTCTCTCTTATGGTTGTTGTCAGTTCGGTGCACAACACCATACACCATCCCATGAGAGAGCTTCCCTGGAGACATCCCATTTGGAACATGGTAGAGCTCCTAAAAATTAAAAAAAAATAAAAAAATCAGTACTTATTACTTAATCTGAATTAAAAAAACCCAGCAAATAAAACCACAGTAACTAAGGGCCAGGAGAGACACCAATTACAGTGAAAGCACAACAGAACATATGAACACTAACTCCTAAACATTTTGGAGTCAACCTGTCAACCTTCATGTTTTTGGAAAGACAACGACCAACTTATAATTGATAAAGAATACAGAGATGCCTAATTACCACTACCTTCAATAGAAGTCATCTAGGCACAGCTAGAGACAACAGGCTGATTTGTACAAGGAGAGGTAGAGGCATGTAAGAAAAGGTTAAACTGGCTTATTTTCATTCACCACCAGATGTTACTTTTCTGCATTCTTGCAGAACACTGTCAGGTCTCTAGTTCCCTCTAAACTCTTGCAACCACAGAATTATCCCTCATTCCCCAAACTCCCTGCTGCAGGAAACAAAAATTCACAAGTTTACTCAAAAAACATAGAAAGTTCTAAGAAACTGAAGCTAAAACATTTAGACTGTTCCTTAAAAGAGAAAAGATCTGTTTCTCTTGAAGATAAAGCAGAATTTGGAAACAGCTGTTACTGATAAGCTTTGCACATTCTGTTTGAAAGGTCAGTTCTAAAGAAAAATCAGGCACGGATTGTTTTACTGAACCTACTTTCTTAGGCTGGATATACCAGATACAGGTCCATTTGAGGATATTTACTACATTGACTTTAGAATATGTTTTGGTTTGTTTTTTTTTATTCTAAGCATTGTCTAAATGCTCTCTTTGACACCAAACAGAGGCTTTAAGAGACAAAGCTCAGCATCTTATATCCATCTGCAGCTGCATCCTGGAGATCTTCCATCCTTACCATGACAGTGAAGAGAGGACACCATCTGCAGCCTAAAGCAGCAGCACTCTCAGTTTTTAGAAGCAAAATCAACACAACTATGCTGGCAATATAAGAATAAATACTTCTTTAGGTATGGGGGAAATTAACAGGAAAACTTACTTGTATTAAGAAAAATTGACAGAGACAGACATTTGCTTTATATTGTGTCCTTCCCACATGGCACTGACTGATTTTCCTCAACACTGTAAATCCTACACACTCTTCTTTATCACATCATTAATAGTTTAAGCATGTTGCTGAAGCTCTGGGTGTGTGTGTGCAGGGCTGGGAGGGGAACAATCACAGACAGACACCCAATAAAGAACATTTCAGGCATAGAATAACAAAGCTGTAAGCCTTCATTTGAGAAGAAAGTTTTAAAGCCACTTAATGAAGAAAACATTGGGCAACCAGCCCTACCTATACATGTTGTAATTTTGCACTTTGAAAACATTATTCGCAAAACTTCATATCCTCAAAATGAGATGTTTCATAACTATGTATTATTGGGGGTTTTGTTTTGCTGTTTGGATGTGCACAAACAAAAGCTCTACACCTCATACTTAGAAATAGAGAAATACAGAAACAAGATGCGGACATGACTCAAAATTATTTTGTGTTTGTTTGCTTCCAGGGTTGTACAGTTTCTTTCATAGTTCATTGCAGCTCCTCCCCTGCATCTGGAAAAAGGGATTACACACAAGTTTCCATCTTCCTGATAACAGAATGAATAATCACTTTGATTGTTTAGAGGTTACCAAGGCACCAGACACTGAATTCATAAATCCATACCCTTTGCCCATGATCACTCATTTTTAATGAGGTGAACAGCTGAATACCAGCAATACCAAGGTCCTTTGTGCCTCTGAAACATTAGCAGAATTGTCTAAGTGCTCTTTGCAGAGCTCTGGCATAAAAATTCTGACCAAGTTCCTTATTTTTAGAATATTATGAACACATTCCTAAGGAATGCTTTGAAGGATGCCCCCTCTCCCAGCCCCCCCTCACCCCCCAAGAAAGACCAACAAATTCAGACCAATGGGTTTGCAGCTGGAGAATCACCCATGGCACTTACATATGTATTTCAGAGATGAACAGACACTTAAATTTACATTATAATGGACAGTACATGCAGGATTAGGTGCTCACAAAGGCAGACTGGTTACATGTCTCTTGCAACAATGCTAAACTTGCCTGTTATCTGTATGTGCACAAGCCTCCTAAGATGCCTTTGTTACTTCTCTTTCAGAAGATTAAAGGACTCTCCATCATCTGTTGACTGTTCCAGTTCTACGTGCTACTTAAAATACAGGATATTGTTTTTACCCTCTCCTTATTCTTCCTTTGTATCCCAATCCCCAGACAAGTGCCTGTTAAAATTTCAGCTCTTGCTTGTTTTAAAGATGTGTGAGCCAACAGCTACACAAGGAACTGTTCTCATGTTTCCTTAACCTTTTTCAGTGCTGTTCTATTCCAGCCATGCTTATCTTCTACTCACCCTTTTCTGTTTAGTAACTCTGAATTTCTTCTCAGTGACCAGCAGTTTCAGGGTTCTGTATAAATAGCCAAAAAGGGGCTCACCTGATGCAATCTCCTCTTAGGAGAAAGGTTACAATCAGAAAATTCCTCTGAATGCAGGTTGAAATTATTGCTTTGTTTGTTGACTACTTTTTCAATACAGCTTTGCCTCTAAACAAGGCCTTGCTGAGTAGCTCAGGTCTCAAATATCTCCACAGAACTGCAGGAGTAAGCATGCACTGAGTATACTTCTACCAGTCTGCTTCCTCTCAAGCTACTTTGTCCACCTTTGTCAATTATTTATTCTCCCTTCACTGTTTTTTTCCATTTCTGCCTTGTTCTCTGTTCTTGCTCTAATACATCCTCTCTCCCATGCTTCCTCTGTCACAAATTCTGGATTTTCCACATGCTCAAGAACTACATAACAGTATCTTATCCCATTATTTTCCTCTGTGTCCCCCCTCAGAACTCAGATATTTTTCCAAGCAGGTCCTCAATGGTCTCCACTCTTATCTGCAGTGAGGCATCTCAGTGAACATAACAGTGTAAGTAAATACATGCAAGAACTTAGGAGCAAGTAAATACTGTAAAGCTAACCAGAATAGTGCTTTAAGATGGAAGGGTTAATTAGATTAATCAACCATTGCTGTTTAAGGTCAATACATCAGCAAAATCCCTTCTAATGTGAGCTAATGATCTGAAAAGGCAGAGTTAGCTTCAGCAGCTTGTGAATATTTCGTTGCACCTATAGTCAGTTCTACGAGAGCCCAAGGTGACAGCAAGGACACACGGTGTGGGTGCTGGCAGGGCCTGGATCAGCCTGCAGGAACAGACAGCTGCACGTGGTGTGATCACACCGAGGGCACCAAAGAAACACAGACTGTCTTTACCTCACTAATAAATATTTAAAACAGAGGCCTACACCCCAAGGTTGCAAAAGTCTTGATAATTACCATGCATCCTGTTTATGTCTCTGCCCAAGGAGGCACTACAAGTAACATGAAAGAGGTGAAGACTTGACAAAATTAAACCCTGAATTTAAGTTTTTTGCTGATTTTTCTATGGCCTATGTTTTAATTTGCATTATGTAAATAACACTGAGGGATTATCTGCTTCCTAATCTACCAGTTTTATAAATGAGAGTCAGATAAGCTCATATATTATACTTCTTCCTGCCCCAAAATTGAAAGCAAAAGCACAGAAGACACATATTTTTTGAGAAAAAAGGACATCTAATGTAATGCTTAACACAAGTCTGTGTTAAGTATCCCTGTGGCCTTTAAAATTTCCCTGACTCATGATCTGCTGTTTACCTACACCATCAAAAAACCTTGAACAAGAATTATATCAGTCAAGCAAGGTTTTATCTTTCCCTTAACACCCACATTCCAGGCATTTCTACAACATCCAGTTATCTTTTACCTGTTCACTAGTTACACAAGGAACAAGAATATTCATGCTGTTACTGAGGTTACATATTTTCTATTCAGTAAAACATCACATTTGTAATGTTGAGCTCACCAAGAAAAGTTACTGTGCTCTGACAAAAGGTAGCTCTGTTTTTATGTCTTTTCATATTCCTCTACCCATAAAAATCATGTTACATTTAGGAATGTTTTACACTCAATTAGTATTACAATTGGGAAAACATGCCACAACAGACATGAGTGTTCTTAAATTCACGAAGAATGCAAGAAGCATCACTGAACACGTGCCAACTCTGAAGCTCCTTGAGTGTTGAATTTGGGTGTCCATCTCAAAAGAGAAGTGTCAGACATTATACAAAGTGATATCTAACCCCTGAAATCTGTACACAGAATGCCAGTGGTTACACACCTTGGGAAGCTAAGATACAACAAATACAGCAGCAACCTCAGAAGTCTGTGGAATTCTTTCTGTATTTTTTATGTAGTGCTGGTTTTAACAAAGGTGTTGCTTAATTAGTCCGAGTCAAAATCAAGTGACCAGTGCTGGAGAGGATGAGAAACAGTACCATCACCTGTAGCAGATGAACCACATTTTTTCAGGTACAAGTTCTGCTCTGCTGACAGGAGTGGGCTGGCAGCAGCAGAGAAAATAGCACTGTCCTAGATTCCATGTGCACCACAGCCCCACACTCACTGCACTCATATTCTTGAACCAGACCTGACAAAAGTTTCTGCTTGATTCTCACCATGATGTACAGAAGCAAATTCCCCTTCTGGCTTCTTTACTGGCTTCTTTACAGCCTACTTTTTTTTTTTTTTTCTTTTCTGGCAAAAAAATGTTTGCTATGCTAAAAAAATCTTGCTTAGGAAGTAAAAACAATTTCACTTCTTAGTTGTGATGTTTAAAAACCAATAAATTTAAAGTGTTTGAGGATATATGCAGCCCAAGTACCAACCTGAGTTTAAGACTAAACACTGCTCAATCTTGGCTGAAAGCCACAGACAGCAAAGTGACACAAATTTCCAGAGTGTTATCATCTCATTTTCATTCTCTTGTCCACATATCCAAATGAAAAAAAAAAATCTGTCTATACATATCTTCACATTCTGCCCTCAAAAGCTTAGCTGCAGCTTCCAATGACACTTCCAAATTTAACCATGACAGTGAAGAAAGAGACCCATGGATAAAAACAAGCCCAATCCCAAACAGGGACAATACAATTGTCTGGAAGCCCTTTATTATGCAAGACAAGAGAGGCTTCAGGATATGCAGATTTTGCATACAATCTGCCAAGCACAACATTCCTTTGTACTTCATGGTGAAGTAAACAGCCTCACACTACTGTCACCCATTGTCTGTCATGGACAGAAATAATGGAACAGATTCAGAATAGTTTGTGATCCTCTCTACGTACAGTACCAACAATTCAAACAACCCAACCGACCAGCCTCTACCTGTGAGTTAAGTTCTCATATGCTTCTTTCAGGGTCTCATATCCTAAATATGAGTATAAAAAACCAACCTGACACAAACTCACTCCCCCTTCAGTTTCTGAGATCAGTGTCTAACTCTGCACCATCTGCCAGCCTTTCACAAAAGGCAGGGAGAGGCCACCCTAGTACAGTATTGCCTGCAGCAATTTTCTTGCAACAAAACCACCCAGATCCATAATTTCATTTTTAATCTCTTACACTAGTTCATTTTTATTCAATGGATGCATAACAGTAAAAAAGTTAATCTAGAAATTTACTGCACTGATACAGATTGAATAAATTTCCTTCCAAGTTTGGACTTCAATGAAAAAGGCTAAGGCAAGAGCTATCAACATAACTGATAAAGAATCACTTCTGGTCTTACATCAAACAGCAAAACAAGTTATTGGCAGGATCAGCACTAGCAAGAGCTGCTGTGTAGTTCATTACCTGATTCTGCAACTGAAACACTTCTTAATGGTACTGAGCCTGAGAGATGCAGAAAAGTAACAAACACAGTGAGCCATCACCGTGTCACATTAGGGCAGCTCAAAATCACCTCCTTCTAATGAAAGATTTGAAAGGGGAGATTACACCAAATGTCACGCCATGGTGTATTTATAGTTTTCTGGCATTCCCTCCAACACTTCAAGGTCTTTTCTCTCCTCCCTCAGCAGCAGAGGCAGAGACTTGTCCTGCCCAAACAGGAAAGCACCTGCAGCTAGGCTCTGACCTCCTGACTTGGCTGAGCACTCCAGCAAAAACTGTGCAATCCCACAGATTACCCCTACAGCTCATTACTGTAAGTCACATTAATGTATTTTAAATACCAAAAGCATTTTTTCTGTTCCCATCTTCTTAGGAGTCAGCAATTAAAGTCAGCACAGAACTCTAGATTCCAACAAAGGATCTGATGTTAAATTTGATTCTTGCTGAAGCTGGATTTTTTGACCTTAAATTGGAAAGTGCAAGGTAGAAAACAGAGCAGTTCACTAATTTCTATTATCCCTATTTCCAAAAAGGGGCACAGGACTGTGTAAGGATTATCTAACATTTGTAAAACTTGTTCTCAAAGTGCTTTTAAGTGATTTCATTAACATGAAGTCAGCTGAACATAGGTGATCAGCAGATACCTGATTACTGTTTTTAGGAGGTTTTTTTAATTAAACTGTGCAGTAAAAGCATCACAGCATGACTAATCATGAGGCATGTGTGCACTGTAAATTACTTCAAATACATAAAGCAATCGATTAGACAGACAATAAAAATCTACAGGTAATACACTGCTGTCTGGCTTTAGAGACATGAGGAAAACCCAGTTCATGAGCAGTGATTTTTTTACAGCTGCTTCCATACACCATGGCTGTACTATCTGTGAGGTACGTTTCTTTGTCACACAGAAATTATAAAATACAAGTAGCTGGCACAGTTCCTCTGTGTTTTAATTGGTATGCAACTGGCTGAGTAGATCCCATCTAGCTCTGAAGCCTGACTTTTAAGTCTTTAATTGTCTAAAAGTACTGAACTTTAGAAACTACTCAGAACTTACAATACTTAAATTGCATATGGTTTTTCCTGGTCTCAGCTTATAAGGACCCATCTCTTAAACATCACTGTTTTGCACATAGAATGAAATAATGCATTTATTATCTCCATATCCTCTCCTTAACATTCTCTGGTATAAAGCCCACTTGCCTTTACTTGGATTATGGGGGAAAATAAAAGCTCATTAAATACAAATTAAATCTCTCCCACAGAGAAAAACATTGGTCACATACGAAAGTCACTGCAAATTGTCCAGCCCTAATCCTTAACAATTCTTTCTCATTATCACATTACTCAGAACCATAAAGTGAGTAAGGCATGAGTAAATATCTATCCTCCTCAAAAGCAAACTTGGATTCCTCTTAGGGCAATGGGCCCATAAACTTAGGCCAGTCTGAGGGTTGCTGCAATCAGATACAAGCTGACAAGAGGCTGACAGAGAAGCTACCTCTAAGTGCTACAACTAAACACCTCTGTACAAAACGAATTATTACTATTTAATGGTGGCCCAAATTTAGTTTGCATTAAGGTCTATTTAAACTATTCTGTAAGTAATGTTTCTAGATCCTGAAGAACCAATTACTCTGCTAGACCAGTGCATGAAAACCTGCGTGTATAAAAGATTCCAGGACAAGAAACAACTGATAAGGAATCCTTATCTTGAGAATTTTACTTTGCATTTATTGTTATTGCTTAGAATGACTTTCGCAGTAATTGTTGCCTTTAAGCATCTCTAAGAAATTATTTCTAGTAAACTCCATTGTTGTTTTTCTTTCTATTGTCAGACATTGAGTCTGGCAAACTTCATCAACTTGTTTAATTTTGGTTTATCAACGTATAAATGTGAGAAGTTGTGCAGCCTGTCCAGCTTCCCTTTTTAGTCTTCATCCTTAAGACTAATTAAACATCATCTCTTTCAGCGAACAGTTCTTATAGAACAAGTTCTGCACCAAAGCAGATTGTAAATTCTTTTCCTGTGTGCACACTACTCACTTCTGCAAAACAAATGGCCTTCTGAACCCTTCTATGCACATGACCTTCAAAATCCCTTTCACTTCAGAACCATCTTGAATTCTTTAATTTCTTAGTTGTACATCACCCTTTACTGAAATTAGCTGTCACACACAAACATCAAGGGTCCCCAGCACACCAACTACATTAATGCTCAAATCTTGCACATTAAATCTGAGCCTACATGAAATATGAAATGCTTTTTTAGGATCACAAGGATCCCAATCAAGATCCTGTTTAATACAAGACTGTGTTCCTAGTAGCAGTTTCCCGCTCTTTGATACATAAATATGAAATAATCAAGTTGTAAAGGTACCTCAGTCACAAATCACCTGTATTCTCTGTTATTCCTCTACCACTGTTCTATTTTGCATGCAGTTTTGCCATCCCTGACTCCAAGGCTTAGGCTCAAAGCTCACACCCAACTTGATAATCTTCCACATGTTCTTAAATTAGCTTTGGGCTGCCAAAACAACAAATATCAACATCTATGGAGAACAATGTTTACTTCTTATTTATAGAGAATTTAACTTTGATTTTTAAAACTTACACTTTTTTTTCTTTCAGTTTCCTTTGGTCCCTGTTCAGGCTGTGACACTTCATCAGGTGGCACTGTTAAACGTAGCCTACACACATTCATCTGAAAGAAGAACAAGATTTAGGTGTTACAAAAATGATTTTAACAATTTGCTGTACAGAACGAACTGTACTGAGATTCAACTTTGAACTTACTATTTTATGTTTTCTACCACACAGCTGACAAAATATTTTTTTAAGGTTAAAGGGGCTTTTAGCTGGCAAAAAATAATTCAAGGGCATTCCCATAATTACTTACCTCAAATAGCAAAAATCCCTTTCAATCAACAAATTGTTCTTAGGTACTCAAAAATGACACTGAGAGCTGAGACAACAGAACAATAATTTTCTACTTTCTGAAATTTTTTTTTGCCGATTTGGCATACTTTTATTCTTCAAAAGGGATTGTTTAGAAACACAGAGTGTATTTTGGAGTAAATGCTTCTTTTCTGCTCAGCATATAGCCAAGTATTTGATCCAAGGAAACCTCAGTACTACAACTCCACTAAATGTGAAAAAGGAGCATTATTGAAATCTGATACTACAAATGGTTTGTAAAGCTTCAAAAGACTTAGAAAAGTTTTCCTTCAGAAAAAAAGTGTTGTTCCCTATCTGATTTTAGAACAGCCTTTCTCTTGCCAGCAGGCATGGTACTGTTCTGTACCCAGCTGCAGTTTGCCTTGCTTTGGGCTGAGACATCTTTGGTTTAATGGTGTTTTCCAAACAATACATTTCATACAAGAAACTTGGTTAAAACCTTTGGTCCTTGTCCTATCCATGAGACATTTTTGTGGAAACCAAGTCTAAGTCCTAAGCAGAACATAGCAAATGATGAAATGAGAAATTTGGCTGTCCTAATTCAAAGCTGCACTATACCTTCCTGTAAAATCCCAGCTGTCTGCTGGTAACAAAGAGAGCTCTTAAAACTCTTCCTCAAAACCTCTTAAGCATCTCTTTCAGGATTACTGTGGGCCAACATCACTGTTCTTCTACAGCCCAGCATGTCATTGATGTGGATCTCTCCTGTTTCTCCTGGAGTCATGCTGAATGTGCGTCCCTCTTTCACACCCACATTTCCACTGCATTTGTCCCAGCTAACAGCTCACATCTTGGTCATTACAGCACCTCCTTTTGCCTTGAAAATGGCAATAAAGTTCTGCTCACTGCATTCAGAGCACTGCAGCAAAGCCCTTCCCATACACCCCAAATGTTACCATTTTACAATTCATTGCTTCCAACTGTCTTTCAAATCATTTAAGCTGCCTTGACTGCATTTTCAAGCCTCTTTACAATACAGCTTCCTCAGAGACCACTATTCAGCATCACAACTATTCAGAATCACAACATCATATCCCTATTTTCCGTTGCCAGACAAAATACCTTTTTCAACTTTTCAAACAGGCTTTAACATTTTCTTCTTCACGAGCAAAAACAATTGGAAGAAATATCTGCAACTTCACAATTTTTTTTTCTGGCATTTCTTTAAATCTGTTGAGAGGAAAAGTCAATAGCATTTAGACCACTGGTATGTTGTCAACTGTATTTTAGAAATATTAGGTACTGCCTTCCATCTTCCTCTCAGTTTGGTCTTTTAGGTCTGCAAGACCAGTAAGAAACAGTGTCCTGAGACAAAGTTCTTATAAAATATCTAAGATGTGTCTGCATTATAAAGAACAAGAAGAGGGAAAAGTCTATAAGGTGATCAAGGTGAAATATAACCTTTTCTGTAGGCATATCTGTGAAATCAATATTTTGTGCAGTGGCCTCCCCCCTGTTAATTTATCATTCATCCATATGCTAGAAAATCTAGAACAAGAAGCCTCAAAGTGACATAAAGCCCCCAAAACTTAAAAGCAGTTTATGCTTTCATATTTGTTAAAGAATACTGAAACAATGAAATGCATTTTAAAATTATGAAACTTGGTGCATTGGCTTTTGATACTGATTGGCTGCTATGTTTGTTCTAGGAACACCAGACTGTCTTCATATACTACAGAAGCTGGTGGTATTTCCTACTTACAGATTAGTTTTCAAGATAATAATAATAATAAGTTCCTCATCTTTAGAACTCATTGATTCATAAGGTAATTAACTTCACCTTTCCTCATCTATTTCCTCATGCCCTTTCTTCCCATTAGCTTATTAAGGCTCTTTCCTCTTAAAACATTCCTGTTTACAACAAGAAGGGAAATGTAGGCTGGCATTCCTCCATGGAGGCAAACAAAGCCCAGAGCCATAAATAGGAAATAGAAGTGAGTGTGTGCTGTGCAGGAAGGGATAGATGAGGCCACCTTTTTCTTGCAGTGATTTCAAACAAAGAAAAACCAGACAAAAAGGAATGAACATATTGCTAGGATAAAACATTAAGAATGCCTGAAATAACTAGAAATAGATAATGACTGGCAACTCAGAGTTAGGAGAATGAGGTTGTGTATGAATCTCTGAAGCAAATAACTTGCCTATTAATCAGTACGAGGCTAATTATAGCCAACAGCGTTTCACAGTGCAGTGATTGTAAATAAGTAATTATCCCTGTACCTGCACACCAGTGAGTGGACACAACTGCCTTTCACATCACAGGTGTCTCAGGACTACTATGAAGGAAATCACACAAGTCCAGTACAGATAGCAGACAAGTCATCACAACTACACAGGAAATATAAATTAACAACAGTCATTTGTTGAGACTAAAACCACTGTACAACAAAAAGTTGTCATCATTTAAGCTGTTTTTTCTTGCCCTTTTCACCTTGCCTTATCTGTCACCCCCAAATCACTTACCCCACCCCAACTGGCAATCATAAGGACTCCAGCCTTGAAATTGTGCCCAGCAAGGCTTGTACAGCAGTGGCACAGTACCACCCAGTTCCTTGCTAGAACAAACTTACACAGGCTGTGCTCTGCCATTGTTTACAACAATGGGACTTCCTCAGCATCCCTGGGGAAACAGCAGCAAATGTATAAAGTAGCCATGCAGTCCAGCTCCTCCTAGGCATCTGAGGATGCATTCTACCTAAGGACAGCACTACAGACCCACCTGCTAAAATTCAGAAACACTACGGAGATTGGAAAGGAAAAACAAGAGGCACTGCTTTTTCCTCCAGCTCCCAGAAGCAGTTCTGAACACTGTACATGCACTGTTCCTGCTCTGCAGGGCTTCCTGAAGGAACAACACACTGTGCCATTTGTCGGTGAGTTTACTGACCAAATCAATGAGCAGGCTCACATGGAAATCACAGCAAGCCCTCCTCCCACAGCAAACACTGCTGTAGGGATGCCTTAAAATGGAAATGAAATCCTAACAGGAAGAGCCTCAACTCAGTGCCAAACAGTGGCAGGATAACATGCAACTGAGGATGAAAAAGTAATTTCCAGAAACAAACTGGGTAATGCAGGAAGAAAATGGGGAGGAGAATGAGAACTACTCCAACAGGGAAAGAGCTGCAATTCAATTTCCTTCATCTGCTTACTGACACTAAGAACAAGTGAGAGAAAACAGGTACAGTCATGACTCCCACCTTACCTTCGTGTCATTAACGTTGTAACTTTGTGAACATAAGTTTTAAAAAGAAATACTGGACAGAAGAAGAACGAGGTATCTTTCTAACAATCCTACAAGACTGTCTGACTTTTGTTTAATTTGCAGCATCTGTAGCTTTGGCAAGCCAACACTATAAATAATCTTAATTGTGCCAACATTTTATGCTCATTCCTGGCTTTTTGACACCAACAACCCATGAGTGGCATTTCCAAAGCTCATCTGACATCATTTGTGAAACAGACACAGACAGGAAAACAAGGACTGGACAGGTTCACCTCAAAACAACACCAGACCGCAGAAGCTTCCTGATTGCAATGAAAAGTAACAGGTGAAAGCATCTTTTTTTTACCAAATTTCTAAGAGGCTAGTGGGACAGCATAGAGGAGAGCTATTGTAATATGGCAGTTAAGAAAAAAAAAATCTAGTTTAGTTTAAAATGTTGAGAATCCGTGGCCCAGGTCCACAATCCACATGTATGTTTACCCTCCTACTCAAATCACTAGGATGCAACTTAAAAAAAAATACAGATGATAGATTTAGTTTAAGTAATGTTCTTCAGCTTCTTCTTCCCCCTTTCCAAAAAAATAAAGCACCCAGAAAGCATTATTCAGAATTAACTATGGGCTGAAATAATTACAGATTTTTTTCATTAAAATTAATTGTCAAATTAGTGAGCAATGCTGTTATAGAATAATCAAAGTTATCAGTACAGCAACAGAAAAATACAGGCTATTCTACTAGTAACCAGTCTCTAAACATTTTACAGGACCCCCACAGAAAAAATATGTGGTTCAACACTGATCTAGCTTCAAACCAGCCCTGGAGTTCTACATCACCAGAATTTAATACTGTTGATACTGACCAAAGAAATGGGGACAGCATGTTTGTAGAATAACTGCCTACACCTTATCAGCTCAATAGCTAAAAATCCTTCCCTTTGACTAAGGTCAAGTGTTGGCTCTAGACCTTTGAAGGTGAAAGCAGACAAACAGTGCATGTTTAATTTCAGTCCTAAAAAGCAAGGAAGAAAGTACTTTCTTTGGTCATTTATCTGTTGATTAGCCTGCTCCATTTATGAAATCTCTCCCGTGAGATTCCACACACAATTAAAGGGCACTTTCCTGTGACCACAGGCACACAGGAATGTGACACACATCTTCCTTTTATTCAGCAGTTATTCTAATTGTCTCTCTCTCCTTTTCTAACAACTCATGGTAAGGGAGCCACACTTCACTAAAAAAAGGGACAACGGCTTCCCAGTGGGTTGCAGTCACAAATTAAATTCCTACCGGTTTTCTTAAAAGAATGTATCAAATGCAGTTCATCATTCCCAAGAAATCTATCAAGAGGATTAAAATAAGAAGTTTATCACCTGAACAGAAGTTCCCTTACTGTAACTTATTTAAGAAATATAGAACAGAGAAATTCAATTGGAAAACAGAAGATGTACAGGGAACATAACTATGATTTTCAAGTCACCATAATTTTTCTTATGCATGAGCAATTTCATTTTTTATGAAGACCAGGGATCTTTTTGTCAGGAAGACCACTCTGACTTTCTTGCTATCATGGAAAACCAGAACTACACAACATTCTTCATTTTTTAGATTATGAACTCATATTTTTGAAGCATCAAAACAGTAACTGCATAATTCAAGAAACATTATGGCCTCATGGATGTATTTTTGGTAACAATAAGATCATAACTTTTTTTTAAATTTCTTTTTTCTTATGTGGAATTAACATTCACAATGACAGCAGTGTAGTTGCAGAAGCAAGAAAAGGGCTATTTAAAGCCGAGTGACTGTAGAGACATTCCTATCATATCTGCCTGAGTTTTAACAACTTTTTAGAAGCCCAACAGATTTAAGAGAAAGTTCTTATTTAGTGTATTTATGATTTTTTTTAAAATTAGCGAATTACATATCTGCATGTGAGGAACTGATTAAACAGTTAAATTACTATTGCCATCTAAATCATTGGAGTGAGCTTTCTCAGGATAGGACAGGCAGGCTCGCATTGTAAATATCCAGGCACATCTCAATGATGCGAGGGAAGTCTTCAACACAAGTACACCTTCCTCGCAGGTTTACAGAACAGGCCAGGGTCTAGAACTACAAAATCCTTACAAGACTCCCCAAAAACTCTCAATTTCCCGCACCTACAAACAACGCACAAAAAGATGCTCTCGCACACCCCAAGCTTCACCTGAAAACACCGAAAATAAGGAAAGGGGGGGGGGGGGGGAATTAAAAGAGAAAGGCGCATCTCAGGTAACTAACGAGGGGCATGTGGAACCTCCGCTTCGCCCGCGACCCCGCCCGCGGGACCTCCCCGCCGCCCCCCGCGCTGCCCCGCGCACCTTCCGCCGGGAGCGGCCGCCGTCGCCGGGCGGTCTCCGGGGGGTGGTGGTGGTCACCGTGAGCCCCGAGCTGTAGCGCAGCATCCCCGCGGGCCGCCGGGCCGGCTCTCTCTGCGGCTCCTGGGGCCGGCGCCGCCGCTCCGCCCCCGCGCACTTGGCCGCGGGCGGGGGCGGGCCGGGGCCGCGCGGGCTCCGCTTCCCCCTCCGCCCCGCGGAACTCGCGGCCCCGCGCCGGCTCTCGGGCCACCGACGTGCCCGATTTCACCCCGTGGCGTGACACTGGCAAAGGCGCTGTGGGACGCTGAGGCGCCAGCGCAGGGAGGCATTCTCTCTGCTCACGGGAACATTGGGTGTCGGGGTGCAGCCTGGGGAGAGCAGCTTCGAGGGGACACCCAGAAAGGTCCATCTGTCACACAGCCACCTCCCGGCACTGCCAAACGGGGTTAGGGCTCGCGGGGGCCACTGGCAGCCACCCAGTCCCGTTCTCCGGAACCCACCTCTGAGCACTGTAAAAGAGTGTTACGTGGAAGCTGAACACTGTCCTCCCCTTCTTCCCACAGCAATTCGTGAGCACCCAGGTCTGTCAGTTGTCCGTGCCCCAGGAGTGGGTACCAGGCTCGTCAGAAAGCACGCACATCCCAGCCAGCCTCGGGGCTCACAGGCACAAAGCCGGTGCAGCTCAGTGCATGGATGACAGCATCGGCCTCAGTGCCAAAGGTCCATCGGGCTGAGCATGGTCTGCCCGAGCCGGCTGGCCCCGAGCCAGAGTGCAGGTGTGGACTTCAGCATTTCAGATGCTCAGCTCTTCCGCATCTGGGCTGAGAGAACGCCATAACCCTACACCAACCTACACGGCCCAGGCACAAAATCTTCAATCTACAGCCTTGGGCATCTGTCACAAGCACTACATTCCTCACTAATCAAGGCAGTTATAAGCAAAGGAGATGCTTTTGTTTGAAAGAAATGACAGAACAAATAACTTAAACAGCATTTTAAAAATAATTTTTCTCCTGTCTCCATGTAATTAAATTAAGACCACGAGAAAACAGAGTTATGGCTACACAATGTCCTTACCTGTTGTTAACGAGCAGAGAGCTGAAGAGAGGAAATCTGCCTTGGAAAAATGGAAACTGCACTGAACTATGGGTGCCTCACCCTCTCTGTGTACAATGCTTCTGTTCCTTCTGCCTCTCAGCTCTCCGTCCCCAAGGCAGGACATTGAGCTATGGACATGACAAGGATCTGAGCAAGAGAGGAAGAAATCATTGTCCAGTGCAGAGGAATGAATGAAAGGTCTGCATTTAATATGCAGCATCTTTTTTGTTTTCCCAATTACTATTCTCTCTTCTCCTGGGGAAGGTAATATAGCCCAAGGCAAATGAATCAGAACATCCACTTGTATTTGGATTTCTCTCAAGGCAAGATTGAGTGTTACACATTTCTTTTTGTGGCAAGGTGTCTTGTTCCTACAAACAATTGCATTTCCCTATGAGTCACCTCTGTCTTAAGTCCTGCTTGTAATGCTGCTTTTGTGGGTTTGCAGGTGGGTAATAGGTGTGTCATCATCAGGAGGAACATGTTCCTTCACAATTATGTTGTCTACCCATAGGGTTATCCCTTAGCATGTGTCGTGGTCATTCTGGTGAGTGTGTTTAAATTCTGGTATGCAGACAGCTGGTGACCTCTGTGGTTTCAGCTGAGCAGGAGTTCACACACCTGTGAGATTGCTCTGGTTAGTTACCGAGTTGTATCTTTTGGACTGCATTTCCCTCTGGAGCAAGGTGTGTATGTGGGGCTGCCCAGCCGCTGCAAGGTGCAAACACAACTGCTTTTCTAAGAACAGGCACAGAAGAACTTGTACTACACTAGGGAAAAGGACCTCCCTTCCTATATGATAAGAGTATGGCACAATAATCATTGACATAAGAGAGTAAGGCACAATAATCAGATCTCTGGGAAAATTTGCAAGGTCTGCATCAACTTTGAGAATATTGATCATTTTGATGGAAAATTTAAAAATAAATGCAAGTGAGGAAAAGACTTGTCCATGAATAATAGACAGACAATAAAAATATTATATTCTCAGTTATATCTATTTTAGTTGCAGCTCTCCCCATTTCTTGGAAAATAGCAGAAAGACTATTTGATTTACCAATATCAGTTTGAAAAGGAGCATCTTCTATTTAATCCTCAAATTAATATCTTCCAAGAAAAAATAACCTACATGCATGGTGAGTAGTCTCCCTATTTTGAATTCTCTCAGAATCACCTTCCCTTCCTCTGCCAACAAGATGCACAAGTGTAGTAATTACAGTAATTTGTTTGCTGCCTTGCTACTTGACCATGCAACCATTTGTAGTCTCTTCACCCCTTGCGTAGCCCGTGCGTAGACCCCTCTCTGCATGAAAGCAACATTTGGAACAACTTTTTCTTCATCCCCAAACTCTGCCAACACTACAGGGATTCTGGAGCCAACCACTTGTATGGAGTGAACATCTGGTAGTCCCCAGGTGGCAGAAAGAATGCTCAAGAGAAGCTGTTGAAGCAATATAAGACATACACAGCAGAGCTGAAAAAAAGGACTTCAGAATTATTTTTTGGTTTAGAAAGGAGAAGCAAATTTGTGATCTTTGGCTTGGACAAAAGACAGTGGCAGGGAATGGGTGACAGAGGCATAGAAGATCATGAGTGGTATGCAGAAGTGAACAACGAATTAATTATTTCCTACCCTTGAGAACAGTGGATTTGAAGAAAACCAGGCATAACATTTCTGTGTGAAATTATGTCAGAAGAATCACTGATCATGAAGAGTTTAAATGCTCCTAAAAAGTAGCTGGGTAAGCTCATGGAAAACAAGCTACTAGGGCTATGAAACATGAAGACAGGCCTACAACTCAGAAGGTCCCTGTGATGTGGGTTTGCTTTGTCCCAGTCAAAGGACCTCTGACACTCCCTTGTTCTCCTGGGCAGGATTGACTTCCCTCTTTCTCCACAGCCTCTCTCTTTCACTCCCTGATACCTCAGGGAGAAGTCTCTGCTTGGTTTCAGCTTGTCCCTGTTTGCCAGGCCCCATGACCTTACCTCCTTGGTGCTGATAATCTCAAGTAGATTTGCCACAGTTTACAGCTCTTTTTTTCCTGCAAGAGTCATTGTACACTGCTGTAAGCACTTCATGCTCTGCTTGGGATGTGGCACTAGTTTACAGAAACAAGATGGAGGAATAGAAAGTAAATCACTACTTGGGAATTAGTTTGACTAGAATAACCCTATTCTGCTGATTTTTACAGCTGGACAGAGTGCCCAAATGGTACACATAACCATACAGACTGCTAATAGACAATATACAATATGGTGGCAGAACAAAATCCAACCAGGATGCAGAGCTTTCAGTTCAAAACCTGCCAGTGCTTTCTGACTACAATGGTCCAAAGGCACAGTAGGTTAATTACATTATTACTCTACAGTATAAATATCTGAAGCAATAGTTATTGTGAAAAAGCTAATATAATTACATAGAAACAGCAAGAAATTTAAAGTGTAGGCACCTTCTGTGTTTTTTTGTAACTATCCTGTTTCCCATCATTACTGAAATATTTTTTCCCAGGAGGCACAAAGACCATTCTGCTGTAGGAAAAATGCAGTGGGGTGGCACAGAATGAACATGCCTTTCTGTGAACAGCCCTTGATCATGGACATAGACCATGCAGTACATGGAGGAGGAAGGTCTGCCCTCCTGAAACAGCAGGAGTGGGTAGCCTGGTTTTACCATAACAAATTGCCTAAATGTAGACATGCTAAAAGGATGATTTTTTTTTAAATCAAAATCTCCTGTCCATCTTCAGGCTAACTGCTGACACAGTCCAGAGGAAAAAGAAAAGTTCCTGTAACACATTATCAAGTGGAATATTAATCCTATGAGATTTGGGAATAATTGCAGTCACAAATTGTACAAGAACTCACACCTGTGGTCATTAAGGTTATAAAGTCCCATTCCTATTGCTACAAAAATGAGGTTATAATTAACTTCTAATAGCCTTCACTTTCCAGGGGGATTAAGATCTATTCTGCCTTCATCATCCCTACGGCATGAAAGCCATTATAGCAGAGATTATCAAATGGACAGATGCATGTAAAACAGTTCAGAACCAGACTTAGTAAGAACTGGAGGCTTGATCAATGATGTTTCCTGGAAGCTGTTTCTTTTTTTTCTGCTAGCTCTCACTGTTGCATTCTATAACCACATTTAGCTCAGCACCACGTAACTTCAGGCTCTCTTTTTTGGGTATTACAGCTCATGTGAAAATTTTAGCCTGATAATGTTCATAAAACAGCCTGACACATATCAGAAACCGAGCCCTTAAAGTCAGTTGCCATAGGTGCTCTTATATGCAATATACAAACCAATATATAATATTGTGCAATTTTTCTCTTGAGTAGTTATTTTGTCTTTCACTGGCAAATACATCTTTGCTGCATTTGCAGCTACTGTTACCCTTTTGATGTAACAAAGGTACAGCTACCTGAATGTTCAGCTTGGTTTAGCTACAGGCATCAAATCACTTCTCAGACCTATTGATATAACTGTTTGCTCTCATGCTTGGTATAAGGCTAGTACAAGATTACTGCAAAAATGCAGAGCCTTTCTTGCTGATCTCACAGACATAGATCTATAATTAGGAATTCCTACATCAGGAGTTTGAAATGCAGAATACACATTTTATTTGAGCAAAGCCCACAGTATGTATTGTATGTAATTATTTCATTTATGGTTGAATTGAATAAGAATTAAATTCCTGGAGTTACCTGCAATAGTACCTTGCTTCCATCTTTACTGATAATGTAGAGTCACAGACTGCAATAGTAGAAAATGTTTCTTTTAATATCTTCTGTTTTAATTGTTGTCCTACATTCTACTTAAAGTCCATCTTCCTGTTCAGTTCTCAAAATACTTTTTAATTATGTAGCAACAAAGTAAAAAAAATGCTAGGCAGGTCAATAAGTAATACAATGCCACATGGACAGTAATTTCCCCTGGAAAAGACAGAAGGGCCAAAAGGGAATGGGTTAGTCAGGAAAAGCTGTATCTGGGCATGACCACAGAGCAAGTCCACTGAAGCCAACCAGGTAATGACAACAGTACCAGGATTCTGCTGTGCACCTTCATGCATCCATGTCAGTGCATTTCACACTGTTTGTACCCTGAGCGTGTACTGGGAAAAATGAAAATTACATCTGGTAGCTGTGATCTGTAGAGCCAGACTGTAAAAATCTGTTTATAGAGAAACAAAAATTACCACTACTAAAATTTCAAAGAAGGCTG